CAAATTCTAGACAAGACTGCACTCGCACGATTGCATGAAATCAACCAAATAGCGCAGGGTAGTGTGCTCATCACATGCGCTAACCATAGATAAACAACAATCAACCACAAATATAATATGTGGCGCCAAGCCAACGTTGAGCCAACCATCATCAGACGTTAAACAGATTGCTGCTGTACTTCAGCCAGGTTAAGTGAAGTTACGCAAACTAAATAGTACCTGCTTTAAATTTCAAAATTAGATTTAAATTTTCACATAGTAAAATAATTGTAATATTAATAATAATAATAATTTAGTAACATAAATTTATTTATAGTAAAATGTACTCGCGGGCCGTACTGAATGAATTAAAATTCATTGAATTCGAAAACAAGTTTTTCTAATACTTGCGCAATAGCTGCAAAGTAAGATAATAATAATTTATTTATTAAAGAAATATGGATTATATTACCTCCTAATATAAATTTAGTAGAATGTATCAAAATGAGTGAATTCATAAATAGGAAGTTTAATTCCAAAAAATTTTTAAGGGAACTTAAATGTAAATCATGAAAAAAACTTGTTAAGGGGGCTTGAATTTAAATCATGCAATTTCAAACTTTGAAAAAGAACTTGAACTTAAAATATTAAGAATTTAATATTTTTGAATATAATTATTTTGAAAAAGAAATTAAAATATATACATAGTGTAGTTACAAAATTGTATATAAAGTAAAATATCATTGTTTTCAGACTTTTCTTATGCTGTTACTAAAAAAATGAGCCTATTTCATACTTTATAGTCTGTCAAATAGCTCGTTGACAGTGAAAATTACTTTTTTTCTTCTTTTCTTCCTTGTTCCGACATGACAATTAACCAGAAATTAATTAATTTCCATTCACTAGTTAGTATATTCAAAATTTAACAGACGTTTTCACTCACATAAGAAGTCTGCAACAACCCCCCCTCAAACATTCCTAGTCTCTCCCATGTACCAAAAATAGCTTCTCAAAGGTTCACCGCCTGTCATAATTCAAAGTATCCCCACTGCCGATAACAAAATTTCGAACACACACTCCTTCTGAGTACGACACAGAAGAAAACACTTTACCGACATCCCACTAGAAAGAACGTAAGTTAATTAATACATTTTCTGGCCTTTTATATTTCATGTATATTTTACATTTCATTATTTCTTATTATATTTATTTCAATTTTTCAACTTTTATTTGATTTGTTTTTGCAAAGATAACATAGTTATGTTTCTCATGTTTATTTCAATTGCTTTGAGTTCTATTTCATAATTCCAGTTAAGATTACTACTGTTAATGTTTATTTTTAAAAAAATAGTACTGAATTAACATGCATAAAAGCGAAGGTGTCGAGGGACATTTACTCAAGTATCTTGTAAATATTTTACTACATAAATTGGCTTTTCACTCAAAATTTCTAAAGAATCTTGTATTAGCGAAAATACTTCATGAGCTTTTTGGTACTCTAATTTGGCTATAAATCTCATCACTTCACGGAACTACAATTTCGGCCTAATTTAATTTACCAGTTTGGAATCATCATTCTTACTTGAGTAAAAGACGAAAGACCTTCGCATTTATTAATTACTGTTCAATGAACGGGAATTAGTTTGTTCCCTTTGAAAAGTCAACTAATTTCCGATCAATAGCGATAATTACTTGTTTTTCTAATATTTTTATTTCTTTTTCAGAGTTTGCAATTTTCTATTCATGATTTAAATTCAAGTCCCCTTAACAAGTTTTTTTCATGATTTACTTTCAAGTTCCCTTAAAAAACAATTTTCAGAATTAAACTTCCTACTTTTGAGTTCACTCTTTTTGATACATTCTACTAAATTTATATTAGGAGATAATATAACCAATATTTCTTTAATAAATATACATACATATATATATAGGTCAATCTGATATTTTTTATATATGCGCGCAGACGATAAGTTACAAGGAAAAAATTAACTGCTAGCTTTGAAAATATGAGCCATTTTAACCTAGCAGAGGAATATTTATTGTCCAATTGCAAGTAATTCAACGTAGAATAAATTTTAGGCAGAAGGAAAAATGGAGCTGACGCGAGAACATTATGCCTGTATGATTTTTTATGATTTTAAAGTGGGGTTAAATCAAAAAGAAAATGTTACAAAATTTCACAGAGGTCGCAACTCTCTTCAGGATGAAGAACACACAGGAAGGCCGTTGTCAACAGTCATCCCGGATTACGTGTCTGCCATACGGAAAAAGTTAATCGATGATAATCGCTGTACCTGCCAAATGATACAGACAGAACTGGGGGAAAATTAGTTTGCCGTTGGGTTTCCCATAATTTAATTGAGCACCCAAAAGAGGAGCGTGTTAGAATCAGTACAGAATCATCATCTTAAAGATTATTTCTAAAATCATACCTGGTGATGAAACGTACATACCATTTTTTGACGTTCCAACACGTCAAGAAAGCCTTGATTCGTAAATTTTGATTGTGTTTATGTTACACCTTCTTAAACTGTCAGGGTTCTCTAAACAGATTCTATTGGCAGGTTGTGGATAGCATTTACAATGAGAAAGAGCTGTTCAAATATCGTCGGTACAGGAGACTTTATTTACTGTGTGGAAAAGAGAAATAACTGATGTCTTCCCCCCCACACACACACACACACTTTGTGAAGGTTGCAAACGATGGCTAAATGGAATTTTTGAACGTAGGGGCATCAAGTGAATTCTTTCGGGTGGCAGTTTAAAGGGCAGGAGCAACCTTACCTCCGTGTTGTTCTTAGACATTAGCAGGGGCATTAGACATTTCTGTATCTCACGTGTTTGAGTGACTCATTTACAGGTGTCAAGAAGTAGTTTGTGTTCCTATTCGTTTGGGGAGGCTGAAGATGATAAAAATAAAAATACGAAAATTCATCCTATTGGGATTCTGAGTATGGACACCGAAGAGGACGATCATTTGCGTGCTTCTACACAACATAATATGGGTATTTCCAATCATCCACCTTGAAACCCTGAATCGTATGTAGCTGATCATCAAATTTTATGATCTGAAAGCTCCTACTTATGAGATTAGAAGCCATTCAAAGGCAGAAGAGATTTCTTCAGCGTGGATCGGCCCCTCTGAATAATGCTCAATTAATGAAATTGAAAGTATTCTCAACGTCCAGCGACAAATTCTTACAAATGATCGAGAATTAGCCAAAATGGCCGCTATTACTGCCAAAATCCTCTCCCTCTTCAAAAGGAGAAAATTCAAGCAACGCACAAGATGCAAGGTCAGCTTGATCATCCTGTAGGTCAAGCTTAATTTTATGTTTATCTTTCAGCCTGTAGAATTTTGGTGGGTGGAAACCGAGTTTTCTTCGAGTCTTGGGTGGCAGTTAAATATCAGTTTTATGTTTAGTCTGAAATTATCAAAGGGTAACAAAAGTTCTGGGGCATTTGTCCTGCGGAGGGCTTGCCTGGGTAAGTGGGCTGAGAGCCCGCATTTTTGCCCTGGACGAGCTCTCCCAGTGAAATAGGCTGAAATTTCTTCTTTCTGTTCTGCAGGAAAATACATTGTATGCTTCCTCTCCGTTAGTCTGATCATTTTTAAGGCGCTGGGTCATCGGGGCTCCTGATGACGAATTTCTGCTAATATAAATTATACTAATGGAACTCCAGGTTCTCGTCAAATATGTGGCTCAGCGCTTTTCCTTGACGACTTTCACAGAGTTAAGTTATAAGACGGCTGAGAACAATTATTTACATTGAAAGAACTGTCACCTGTGCGGCTTCGAACTTAATTTACATTGGTGTCTTTTGCGTGGTTCGATACTCTTCTCCGAGGAACAATATATACCAAGAAACCAGGTTGAGAAAAAAATTACTTGTATGGCAATGAACGATAGCAAGACTCATCGACGTTGTGTCTAGGATATAGAGCTGAAGAAAGTTGCCGGATATGTCGACTTAGTTCTGCAAGTCAAAAATTTTTATTGTTTTATTTTCCCCCTGGGTGTTACAGGGTTAAGGAAGGAGTTTAAATTCTTCGGTTAAATTGTAAGTACGTTAAGTTAAAAACTCTAATTTAAATTCATTATTACATGGAATACAAAAAGGTGTATTAATACCATTGATAATAAGTCACAGAAAAAAACACTGAAAGGTTTCAAATTTTAAATTACGTCCAAACGGGCGTTGTTTTAACATTTTGTGTGTTGCTTTTATTTATTAAATATCGTGTTTACTTAAACCATAAAATTCAGTTCAACAGCAATGTTACAAAATTATTTTAAAATAACCATATCTTAAGAATTTCCGATACACAGTTCCGCGCGTTCAGAAAAAGGTTCAAAGCCATCAAGCTGGACAGAATACAATCACAGCTAACTGGTACATCACTAAGTGTCTTCCAGAAATTCTTCAAGAAGTGAATGTTAGAGAATTCGAGAATGCATCTTCTCATTCAGCAAGATTGATGGTTGGGTATCTTGAACAAAAACACATCAGAGTGATAGAACTTCACCCTATTCACCTGATGTAGCTAGCTATCTATGACTTTTGGCCACTTTTTAATCTAAAAAAGAATTTACGTGGACGTTGTTTTCATTCCGAAGATGAGCTTGATGGGGCTATAAATGCAATTTTTTTATCGATGAGGCGTTTAATCTTTGGAAAATTCGTGTATAGAAATGCATTGGCCCTGGAGAAAACTACTTTCAACATTCATAAAATTTCATCATTCGCTTTGAAAACCTATGAATATCTCAAAAACATCATAATGATAAATAGACGAATTATAGAAGATAATGATGAATTCGAGAAATGTTGTCTCAGTATTTTATTCAACAGATGTCAGACGTTTCTTCCATACTCATAATTAAAACTTTATTGGGAATAAGATAAAAAATGTTTTTGCATATAGTATGTGAAATTTTGGTTCATTAGTTATTTGGGATCCCCTTGGTCTTCAAATATTTTAATTTATATGAAATTTTAACCTGTATTTTCTTCTGCAGATTAACCATCCCCATCCTTATTTGGGAACACCGCTGATTGCTGCTATATTACAGTCTGCTCTGAAAATGTCATCCACTGCGGATCTAGACTTATCACATGATCTTCTGTGGCTTAACAGGCTACCTGAACTTTTGGTAACACCTTTGATGCCTCTTGTAATACCGTTCATTCTGGAACAGCGACCTGCAGGAGATCCCATTATGGATCAAAATTATCCATATGCAGATTTCTGTACGCTGTTGTTAGACAGCGGATGTGATATTAATGCTGCTGATAAGTTTCATGGTGTAACAGCTCTGCATGTTGCAGTAAGACTAAACAATGAAATTTTAGTTCGGAAACTCCTTATTCGTGGAAGTGACATCGACAGACGTGACAGTAATGGTTTTGCTCCATTAAACTACGCATGCCTACAGGGAAGCCAGAGACTAGTGGATTTGCTTATAGCTTCCGGTGCTAATTTACGTACCCAAGATTGGGAAGCTACTCTCGGAGAGTGGAGAAGATCGGAAGAATTAAATGACAAAAATAGTCAGCTGTTAAATTACATTATTTATCAGTCGAAACAGTGTCTAACCTTAGAAAATCTGTGTAATATAATTATTAGAAAAAATACTAGAAATGTGGGGGAAAATGCCATTAAACTTGGAATGCCATCATTATTGGTAAAACGTCTACTATTTAAAGATTGATAGAATTATGTAACATGATTTATGAGCATAAGACTGCACTTGAGCATAAGATTGTACGTTATTTCTGATTATGATTAAATTTCTGTGATATAAAATTTAATAAAAAGAGAAAAATATTATCAGCGTGCATTTTCTTCTCTTCAACTACACTAACAAAATATGATGTATTTTATGATATTTGTTGCGAAGATTAGTTTTTTTAGATTGGCAGCAAGAAAAATATGAAAGTAAAAAAGTTTGCTTTGACGTTGTAACCCTAACATCTTATTTTATTATTGTGAATTAAAACATGCCTAATCCATTTTAGAATTATCATTCAAGTTTTTAAAACTTATTCCATGTATTGACTGACCACAACCGAAAACAATAAAAAGATTATCAGATTCAATATTCATTGAAATATCACACCGAACAACAAACGTTGGAGATTCTAAAGCAAATATAAATTAGCATAAGTCGCACCCAACTGCAATAAATCTAACATAGTGTTATAAATTTCACAGCTTTTCCCTTAGAATTAGATTTAAAGCTATTGCAGTAACCAAACTACTGTCCGATTTCCAGGAAAATCCTCAATAGGGACTTCCCTCTTTCAGACAGACCAACCGTCCTGATTTTTTCATTATTGAAGCTATTGAGTGACTTGTTTCGGAAGCATACACTAAAGGGTTCTTGAAAGACTGTTTAGGAATTACCTTCAAGGATTAGGATACAAACAAAAATTCAGAAGTTTATATAAGACACAAACACAAATTATTCAAACACAAAGATCTTCACTCTCGGCCTCATTCGGGCTTACATTAGCGAACACTTCTGGCTTAACTCAAATAAACTTAGAACTTAAAAAATAAAATGAAGCGCTCAACGCTACAGAATCAAATCGCTTGTGGGTCAGATTAACAACGTAACAACAGAAAGATTTTTTTTTTGAATTGTATGTTTTACACATTCAAAAAAATCTTTCTGTTCTAGTTAACGATCCTAATTCCAATCCATCTTTGCCTTCGGCCTTTAAAGAAATATTTTAGTTCTGGTTTCACCAACAGATGGCGCCACTTGCTTATTCTTGTCCAGGCTTTCTTATCTTATCTAATCATTATTTCCTATCTTGTTCATTTGCGGTTTTGCAGCTGAGGATGGTGGTTCGGTAAAACCATCGAAACTAGTCCTGTGAAAATTTTGAAAATATAACGCTGATTTTTGTTGTTTGACTTCTGAATTAGTATTTATTCGGCGTGTTATTGTGTCTTAATCAAACATCTGATGCTAAATAAATTTGCAAATGGCTCCTTTGGGCTAAAAATAATGTTTTTAAAAATAACTTCATTCTGTTTCCTTCTTTTATAACTGAAAAATTTTGCTTTTTCAATTAATTATTTAATGCAACAAATTATAAATTCCATTGGTCCAAAATGTTCCACTATTTAGAAAGATTTGAGGTTTTAGAAAGGTATAGAATGCATTTAAAAATATACATAATTTCTATTACTGATGTAATGCATTTTAATTTCTAATAATTTTGCATTTTCAGACAGGAAGAAATATTACACTTTCCATCTCAGACAGGGTGCGGCACTGAATCGGACGATTTTAAAAATGTTATCAAGAGTGAATGATTAGCTTTATTTACTTAAAATACACAATAACACATAATAAATATTAAAGGATTTGGTTTTCAAGCTGAAAAAAAATCTGATGCAGACACCATGACTTCCTTGTGCGAAATATTAAATTATACGCATTTTTTGCTGCTTTCATTTAAACTTATTTCCTCTAAATCCATTCCAGACATATCTCCCATTCAATTAGTTCTGTTATCACTTTGCAGCAAAACAAAAATGCATCAAACTTCAAAATATCTTCATTAAAAATTGAAAAATGTAGAAAAACGTAAAACACCAAATACAGTTACGACAATTAGTTAAATAAAAACAATTTTTACAATTAAAATTAAGAGTTTCTATGCAAAAGCAAGCAATTCGGCCAGCAAGCAATAAAGAAAATTTTTTGGTGCACAAAACTGAAAGTTTACGTTTGGTCCCACTTGGCAAAAAGACCCTGAAGGTGCAAAAAATGGCTTAATTCACTATTCTGCTAAGTTTCAAATGTAAACAAATATAGCTGCTATGGTAAAAAAAATTAGGCTTAGCCGCACTTTAACAACTTATAAATTGTTGATAATTCTACAACAATTGCATGCAGATTAATTGACTCTTTTTTCGGTTTTTGATCTCATATGAACCAGGAGAACGAAACACATTTTCGAAACGTATTAATTGACTTCTATGAAACTTTAATTCATTTTCCATTGATGAGTTCTGAATTGAAATTTCAGTTAAAGGAGATTAATTTTTATACTTGTATCATTCCGTATATTTCCGTTTTCGCAATTTTATTTTTCGAGTTTGTTCTACTAATACATTTTTATTTTAAATTTGATATGTTTAGATATTTTGTTAAACCTCTTATACACGGTTGCAATTATTAATATTACTTGTGCTTTGCTTTGATTCCAATTTAACTCTTAACTTTAGATTCTTTTAAGTTTATATTACTTCAATCCTGCAGCTATAGCACAGGAAGAGTTTAAAAATTTTGCTTTTATTTTTTAGCCTATTATTATGTTTTCTTTTTGTGCGTAAATGTACGGTGAAACACCGAAATCTGGAGAATGTCGACTTTCACCAGTGAATGTCAACATTCACATAGTCGCTTGGTGTATGTCCGAAATATTTTCCAAATACTCTTATTTCTGACTTACACCGGTGAATGTCGACATTCACCATGTACTAATGGTGAATGTTGAACATATAAGAATATTATATTTCCTTCTCCGTAATTCATTCGCGGCGAAAAAAAAAAAAAAAAAAAAAAAAAAAAAACGCACTTGAGAGACTCAGAATAAGAACTTAAGAATATAAGAACTTAAAACACACAGTACATTCAAAATGAGAGAGGAAAATAATAGAAGTTATAAACTTACCAAATTATGTGATTCAAATCTTATTTATTGCAACAACTTAAACTAGTATGACATTTTGAATTGCACAAGAGGCCCTTGCTTTTACAACTGCATTTATTTGTGGAACACTTCCTTTTGGAATGGCAGCGTGCACATATACTCCTCTCTTTTCGACCTACACCAGAGCATATCTGTGATTGTCGACATACACCGGTGAGGGTCCGAATGTACAAGAATGTAAAGAAATATTCGATCTTTCACCGACGTATTTGGTGAATGTTGACATTCTCCGGTGACAGTCGACATTCTCCAATTTCGGTCTTTCACGGTAACATATGTACTATATACTTTTTGTGTGATATTTATATACTTTTGGTGCGGCCTAGTGCAAGCAAAAAAGGAAATGTTATAGCAGTCTTATGTACAAAATTTCAACGTTCTGAAGCTACTCGTTTTTGAGTTATGCGAAATACATACATATGTACGTATAAATGTCGTGAAAAAGTCTCGCCTGAATCTGTTTTAAATCAATTTTATAATCCGTTTATGGAAAAAAAAAGTCCTTTATTCTGTCCTTACGTACAAGTGTTACCCAAAAACATCGTTAAAATGCATTCGATAGTGGTCAAAATGGATATTTTCGTTGAAATATTATGCCCGGAATTTTTGTTGATTACAATCCTTCCTTTACTTCCTATAAGGAAGTAAAAAAGAGGACTAAAAGGCTAAGGCTCATAGTTGAAAACACTTGTTCACATATATAAGATGAAGCAAACATAGCACTGATTTTCTGGGCGTTAAGATTTGTCAAACTTACTTTCAATAATGATTTGTAAATCTCAAACTTTGGCATATTTAGTTACAAATGGTGGAGATGATAGTTAGATTGCAACTCAATTAATTCAAGCTGCAAATCTGACCTTACTGCTTCACAATTTACGTTGAAAGGCATGATAAAAATATCCAATTCTGTTTGAATGGCACTGACATCTTGAAATCTGCGTTCGAACTTAAAATCAGGTTTTTCAAGCCAACTTCATAATTCTTAAGCTTCTCTTCATTTACTGAGGGTATTGAATTTAACCTCGGGAAATGAGACAAGTTGTTCTTAGCTATCTGCCAAGCAAACAAACTGTATTTTAGTTTTAAAGCTTTGAGATAGGCCCAGATATTGTCATTAAACTGATTTTTCTCTTGCATCTTGACATTCCAGTTGCTCATATGACAAAGAAGATCTGCGAAAAATGCAAAGTCTGAAAGCCATTCCGCATCTTCTAACATTTCGCACTCCGCAGAACACTGTTTCTCATGGAAGAACGACGCAGTGCCAGCTACATATGCAAGTTACATTGTAGCGTACAATATTGCTAAAAATAATAAAGCTGTCAGTGATGGAGAATTCGTTAAACAATGCATGCTGCAAGTTTGTGATGTTTTATGTCCAGACAAGAAAAATAATTTTGAGATTACAAACTTATCTCGAAAAACGGTGACTTCTAGAATCGAAGACATCGATAAAAATTTGACATCACAATTAGAGTCAAAGATTACCCAGTTTAAATTTTGCTCCATAGCTATGGATGAAAGCACTGATATAAATGATACTGCTGGAATAAGTGTTATTTACAAGAGGTGTTGATGAGAACTTTGAAATTACCGAGGAACTGGCATGCATTCATTCTTTAAAGGGAACTGCAACGGGATGTAATACATTTTTGTGAATTTAAGTCTTTCAGCTGCCAAACTCACTAGAAAACATATCCTGCACTAAGCCATTTTACTTTGGTGTAAAATGGCGTGCCATTTTACACGTATTCAGATTGCACGGACTAAGAAAATCTCGTAATTGCCTGCATGTAAGTAAGCCCACGAGATCGAATAGCATTTACAAGCTTCACAACTGCATCAAGCTTGGGTTTCATATTCAATGCAGATTTACAGAGAGCATCTTCATGTATAACACACTATAGAAAACAACATCATTCCCGGGATAGTTTTGATTAAAGAGTCCAAGAAACCCAGATATTTTTCCTGTCATATTTGGCGCTCCATCAGTCGTAATATTGCATATATTTGTTATAGGCACTTTCAAAGTTAAAAGCCCTTAATTAAATTCACAAAAATGTATTACATCCCGTTGCAGTTCCCTTTAAAG